ATCACCATAGGTTCTTGCTCATATGTTGTTTCATGAAATTCTTCTGTGTCTGCCAATTCCTTTCGATACAGTGACTCAGTATATTCTTTCCAACTTCTTTTAATACTTCCTGGATCGTTTAATATTCTGCCTAAAGCATCCTTGATTATAGCAACTCGAGGTTTCAATTTGTTCTTCAGGTCCTTGAGCTTAAGAAATGTTGAGCAAGTTCAGCCCTTTTGGTTTTCTGACTCCAACTCCTTGCACATTTCATTGTAATATTTTACTTTGTCATCCTGCGCTGCCTTTGAAATCTTCTATTCAGCTCTTTAGTATCTTGAATTCTTCCTTCTGCTTTGGCTTCTCTGAGCTCCAGTGCAATATTCAGAGTCTCTTCTGACATTCATTTTGGTGTTTTCTTCCTTAACAATAGTCATGTTAACATGTTCTCCTTGTGTGTGCATGGATATTATCCTATCACTCACAACACTGTATTTCAGGATAGAACTTGAAATTGACTTTGTGACTATGAATGCAACACCATTCTTCTTCTGTTTTTCATTCCCGCATTGTATACCATATGATTCAAAGTGGCAAAAGCTGGTGCATCTCATCTCACTAATGCCTAGTATGTCGATGTTGATGTGTTTCATTTCATTTCTAACAATTTCCAGTTTTCCCACATTCAAGCTATGTACAGTCCATGTTCCAATTATTAAATGATGTTTGTTATTGTTTTTCCTCATATCAATTGACTTCCATTCTGGGCTCATTCTTCTAGTGTTCACAGGGTTTTCAAAGGCTGCTATTTAAGAAATGGATGGTCAATCCTGCTTTCTAGTCTGTCTAATCTAGGAACTCTACTAAAATCTGTCTACCCTGGGCAACTCTTATGGCATGTGATGCATCAGTGACATAGCTTTCAGTATCACAGCTATCTCAAGTTATCTAAGTACAGCAAACTGACAGACAAGTGGTACCAGTAGTCAGGATATAAATGATACACATTGCACTGGTCTGCAGATAGGGTCCTCTCCAAATTACAAGGACTAATGATGTCTGTTTGAGGATTAAAATGAGTCTGATGCTAGCCATGATCTTTCTGATATATATAGATAACAGAAAAATTACTGATGCCTTTGAGCTATAGTGTTTGAGAAGAGCACTGAACATCCTATCGCCAGGCAAAAGAACACAAAAATCTTGGAGAGAGTGCAGCTAAAGTGCTCTTTGGAGTCAAGAACGATTTCACCTCATATACTTTTGGCATGTTGCTAGGAGAAGGTACTTGTTGGAGAGGGATATAATGCTTGGAAGGGTGGAGAGTCAGTGAAGGAAAGGAAGACCCTTTTCCAAGTGAATGGACACGTGACTGCTGCAATGGGCTCTAGTGTGCCAGGAAGTGTGAAGATAACGCAGGATAGGACAGAGTTCAGATATTTTGTTTACAGGTTTGCTATGAGTCACGCTCTACTTGATCGTACCTAAAACTTTCAGTAATTGCAAGTAATTATTTTTTAAAAAGTTTATGGTAACGTATGTAAAGTCAGAAGCTTTTTCATTCTTTGTAGAAAATAAATAAAAGTATTTTTCCAATAAAATAAAATAAAATGCTACATAAAATTTTCTTCAACAATTCTTTAATATAGGAAAAATAATTATGTACCTTTTATTTACAACATTAATAATCTATGTAATTTATAAAATGCTTATATTTATTTCTCATTATTACTAAATATTCACACTGTAAGTTCAATATACTGGCTAACAAAACATTCTGATAGTAATTACCTCTATGGCATCATCATACATTTTCCTTGCTTCATGGTCTGTTTTATCTGACATCAACCATGCTTTCAGTAAGTATTCATAAAAACTGTCTCCCAGTCCACCAACTGATGTATGATCTATAACAAAAAAGAATCAGAAGAGAAATTTTAAATAGAGTATATATTTCAATTATAAGCCATTAATTTTAAAGTTGTACTGGCAATCTTATTTTCACAAAATATTTAATTCAGTAAGAATACACCATAAATCTCCTCTTCATATGTATCCATTTTTAAGGAACATCTTTTTACTCTGGGTGTGAAAATAGCTTATTTCTTTCAAACAATTGATACACTGTCACTCACAGAAACTTTCCAGAATTAAAAATAATGATCTTGAATTTATTACTGGCTCAAAGGTATGCCTAATCCAGGCCATAGTCTTCTCAATTATTTGTTAGGCTTCAGAGAACTGGACAATGACTAAAGATGACAGAAGATCAGATGCCTTCAAGTTGTGGACAAGAGACTTGAACATACCATGAACTGACAAGAAAACAAACAGGTCTGTCTTGGAGAGGGTGAAACCAAGTTTCTCCTTAGAGGCTAGGATTTTGAAGCTCTGTCTCACTTACTTTGGACTCATGGCCAGGAGAGATTGGTCCTTGGAGAAGGACATCATGTTCAGAAGGAAGGAAGACCCTGGAAAAGATGGACTGATACAGAAACTAGGGCAATGGAGTTTGGTGTGTCCGAATTAGTGACACTGGCTCAGAACAGAGAAGGGTTCAGAGCTGCTATACATACAGTTGTTATGTGTTGCAGGCAACTCAATGGCACATAAGAGCAATAACATACTATGACCGGTTTGGAAGTAGGAGTGGCATTCACTTCCTAAATAACATGCCTCCAGAAACGCTATACATGTTGATAGTAGTAGAGGGGCTTTAGGCCTTTTGTTCATAGGGTCGCTATGAGTCATGCTCTACTCGAAGGCAAACAACACAATAACAAATACATATGATAGGGCTGAATACATAAAATAAATTAAGACATGATGTTAACCTGAAAGAGCCCACTCTTAGACATTTTGTTCATTAGGACGGTTAACTGTACCTGTGTGCCATAGGAAGGATGCTAAAATTTTAAAAAAGAAAAATCAAACTAAAGTGCTGAACTGCTATCTTTGATAATTATTTATACAGCCATAAGTACATGTTTGTATTAGGTATATTTTTCCCACTATCTCACTTGTAATTTTAATTCTATACATCTTGATGCTATAAATCTCAAAAAAGTTCTTTCTCTAACTCCTAATATTCTAGAGACCCTGCAGTAATATTCTTGAACATTGTTTCATAATGTGTACCTGTCCAGGGGGAAAAAAAAATGAAAACACATTTCTTATAACTTCTCAATCATTCAGGTACTACTGTAAATGATTTTTTTTAATTGGTGACTAAATTATAGCCTAAAATGGCTTTCCTAGCCACTGACTTTGACTCTGCCATGTGGATAGGTGGGAATATACAAATATTCACAAAAGGATTGGCTAGTCCTTTCCATTAAACTGAGTGGATCCAGCAGCAAATTTGAGAACCTCACCACCAGAAAAGCAGCAGCAGAGAATGCAGTGCACCTTTTGGAGCTAGAGTTTCTTGTGTCAGCCAGACCTACAGACTCTGAAGCAGTGACAACAGAAACCCAGAGACCTGACAGGAAAGAGAGCTGAGCTTGGGACTGTTACCCCACAGAACCAGGCCTAGGAAGCCTTCAGCCACCCTTGCTGAAGGCCTCTAGGTAAGAGTGAAGAGACATCACAATTGGCAGGACAAAGCTTTGTCACTTGCCTAAAGCCATGAGACTGAAGGCTGAAGGACATGTAGGCATGCTTCAGAAGCTGTCTTGACTTGAGAAACTACATCCTTTTGCCAGCTGAAATTATGCCCTATTAACTTCCCTAATTATTAAACACAATAATCATGAATAAGTTTCTGTGTAATCTGCATAGCTACTGCAATTAATTTCAGACAAAGTAGGGCAAATTTGGATATTGTTAAGAAAGAAATGAAATGCCTAAATATTGACATGTTAAGTACTTGCAAAATGATATGGATTGGAACAAAACATTTTGAATCAGATGATCCTATGATGTATGAGGCTGGAGATGAAAAGATGAGGAAAAACAGGGTTGCTTTCATAGTTAAAAAGACCGTTTCTAGATCCATCTTGCAATACAATATTGTGAGTGACATGATTATACACACACACACACACACCCCACCCCAGAAAGACCTGTTAATACCACTATCATTCAAATTTCTGGACCAACAATCAGAGACAAAGAGGAGGAAATAGATGATTTTTACCAACTGCTGCAGTCAGAAGTCGATCAAATGTGTACCAAGATGCTTTAATAAAAATGGGTGACTTGAATGAGAAAGTTGGGAACCAGGAAAAAGGATCAGTAGTTGGAAAAATTGGACTAGGTAACAGAAATGAGGCTGGGGACAGAATGACAGAATTCTACACAATCAATAAACGCAGGTTATACACATACATTTCACCTGATGGTATGCATAGGAATCTGATCAATTACATTTGTGGAAGTAGGCATTGGAGAAGTTCAATATCAGAAGTGAAAACTATGACAGGTGCTGAATCTGGAAGAAACAATCAACTACTCAAATGCAAGTTAAAGAAAATTAAATCATACCCACAGAAATAAAAATATGATCTTGAGTCTATCCTATTTGAATTTAAAAGCCAACTCAGGAAAAGGTTTGAGGGTTTAAACACTAATGAATGAAGACCAGATGAGCAGTGGGAAGATATCAAGAATATCCTCAATGAAGAATGCTAAAGGTCATTACAAAGAAGGAAAAAGAAGACCAAAATGGATGTCAGAAGAGAATCTGAATATTGCACTAGAGTGCGGAGAAGTCAAAGTAAAGGAAAGAAATCAAGAAGTTAAGGAGCTAAACAGAAGATTTCAAATGGAAGCTCAGGAAGACAAGGCAAAGTATTATAATGAAATGTGCAAGGAGCTGGAGTCGGAAAATTTAAAGGGCTGAACTCAGCATTTCTTAAGGAACTAAAGAACAAATTCAAGCCACATGTTGCAGTGCTTAAAGATGTTATGGGCAAACTACTGAATGATTCAGGAAACATTAAAAGATGGAAGGAGTATGCAGAGTCACTGTACCAATAAAGAATTGGCTAACACAGAAGAATTTCATGACATACTATATGATCAAGAGGCAATTGTAATGAAGGAGGAAGTTTAGGCTGCTCTGAAGGACTTGTTAAAAAATAAAGCCCCAGGAAATGATGGAATATCAATTGACATATTTCAACAAGCAGTTGCTGTGGTTGTTTTGCTCACCAGGTTTGGCCAAGAAATCTGGAGGACAACTACCTGGCCAACTGACTGGAAAAGATCCATATTTATTCCCATTCCAAAAAAAAAAAGGTGACCCAACAGGGTGTGGAAATTATCAAACAATATCACTAATATCCTATGCAAGTAAAAATCTGCTGAAGATTATCCACAAACAACTGGATCATTGACAGAGAACTACCAGACACACAAGCTGGGTTGGCACTAGAGACATGATCACCAATATCAGATGGATCTTGGCAGAAAGCAAAAAGTACCAGAAGGATAGCTATCTGTGTTCCATTGACTATGCAAAGGCATTTGACTGTGTGAATCATAACAAATTGTGGCTGACCTTGAGGAAAACTGGGATCCCAGAACACTTGATTGTGCTTATGTCAAACCTATACTAGGACCAGGAAGCAATCCTCAGAATAGATCAAGGAAAAACAAAAATCAGAAAAGGTGTACATCAGGTATGCATCCTGCCCCATACTCTTCAATCTATATGCGGGAAAAAACATTCAGTAAGCCAGCCTTTATGGGTAGGAAGGTGGCATCAGGACTCATCAACAACCTACGTTATGCAGATGACACAACTTTGCTTGCTAAAACTGAGGACCTGAAGGCTTGCTCAAGAAACTCACGAACTCTAGTTTTCAATATGTATTGAAGCTCAGCGTCAAGATGACAGATTCTCACCACTGGGCCAACTGACCGCACCAAGATAGATGGAGAAGAGATTGTTAACAATTACAGCTTGCTTGGCTCCACAATCAACACTCTTGCCACCAGCAGCTAGGAAATCAAAAGATGAATTGCAGTGGGAAAATCTGCTGTCAGGGACCTCTGCAAAGTAATGAAATGCAACAATGTCAGCCTAGAGACTAAGGTAGGCCTAAATCAGGCCAGGCCATGGTCTTCACAATTTCTTGCTATACATCGAGAGCTGGACAATGACTAAGGGTGACAGAAGAAGAATCGATGCCTTCATGTTGTGGTGCTTGAGAAGAGTCTTGAACACACCAAGTAAACAAACAGGACTGCCAAGTAAACAAAACATGTGTGTCTTGGAGACGGTGAAACCAAGTTTCTCTTCAAAGGCTAGGATTCTGAAGTCTCATGTAATTTGGTCACGTGGCCAGGAAGGACTGGTCTTTGGAGAAGGATATAATTAATGTTCAGAAGGGTGGAGGGACGGTGCAGGAGACGACGACCCCGATCAGATGAATTGATGCAGTAACTGGGGCAATGGGGGTTGGTGTGTTGGAATCACAGAGACTGACTCAGGACAGTTCAGGCTTAAGAGCTGTTGTACAAAGGGTCACAATGGGGGGAGATGTCACACCATGAGAGCACATTACAACATCATTCTGAGGAGAACTGTATTTGAATAGATTTGTAGACCCACCCTGGACTTCTGCTTGAACAACCCAACCAGACAGAGAAAATGCTTCATGCAGTGAACTTGTGTTGACTGGTGCAACATGATAGCCTACTTTTGACTAGTTTTTGCTTACAGATACAGATGCTCAAGGATTCAACAAAAACAGAAGATTCTTCAGAAAATAATATGCTTGTTTTCTCATGCTTGGTTTGATGATGTTATTGTTGTTATGTGGTCTCCAGTCACTTGTGACTCATGTTGTTCTTGTTATGTGCCCTTGAGTCGTTTGTGACTCATAGAGACCTTAAATACTTGAACCCTGCTCTATCTATGCTGAGTCAACTTTATTGTCTCTCAAACAACTAACCTCAT